TGGCATAGCTGCTATTCGAAAATCTTGACAAGCCTATGTTTTTGCATAAATCGAAAGCTCATCATGATAAGCACTTTTAGATCACGGATCTATAATTCGAGAGGCAGTAGTTAGTATGCAGCATATTTCAAGAGAATCGAAACTTCACACTGACGTTCTGGACAAACCTCGATCATTTAATTCACTTCAGGGCCTGGATTCATGCAAGGAAGCTCAACGCGAGAAGCGAGACTGTAAATGTATCTGGCAAGAAACTATTCATAAACCGCATCATCGTGGCAAATTGACTAGGATTCAGGAAGCTAAGTTTGACAGACAGGAAATAACCGATACGGAAAAGGTTCGTGGACGACGTCATGATTACGGAAGCAACGATGATAAAAAAGATGAGGTTGGATTTAAGAGTACCACTAACTTCTTTCTATCACTGATGAGGAAGGGTCAGTGCAAACAGCTTCTAAAACCCTCACCACAAAAAGAAGTTGGTGAACGCTTTTTTCGAGTAAAACATCCCCAAGCCGTTATTTCTCTTATGCTTATTGCCGCATGTTTTTTTGGTCATCTGTCGCTTGGTGTTTCAGGAGGAAATGCCAGAAGCAAAGGATTATTCGAAGGATTTTATGCGATCGAGAAGATATACGTGTTTGGAAGATGCAAACAGAGAAAAGACGAGATTATTCGAAAAATTTGCAAGTCTATGTGACAAGAAAACTGTGTAAGTTTTCATAGAGTTGTAGTGAATAACCATTTTTTATGCGTTTTTGCAAATACGCAAATGCAAAAAAGCATATTGTGAAGGCCTATGCTGTGAATGTGCGTTTGTGTCGCCGTGTGTGTGCGTCATTGTGTGTGTGTGTCGGTGTGTGTGTGTGTGTGTGTGTGTGTCTTTCCCTCTCTGGGTATTTCAGTTCGGCACCAAGCAAGCCCCGGCTCTAAAATTTTGCCAGTGGGTTCCCCGGCCAAGTGCCACCCCAGGACAGCAGTACCACCTTCACAAATGTCCGGACCCTGCGTATGGGCACATGAAAGTTTTGGCGAGAAAGTCGCTAAATTGAGAACCAGAAAAGCTGTAAGGGTGAAATTTTGAGCGGACGTTCCCCGTCCATTTCGAACTTAAAAATTTCAGATTCAGCCCCAAGTTATGTGTAGTTCTCACATGTGGACCATGAGTATTTTTGGCGGGAAACTGCTAACTCGGAAACCAAAAAAAGCTGAAAATATGAAATTTTAGCGGGATGTTACTTAACTAAGTACCAGGTAGTTGCGTTATTAACTTTCTTAACTTCGAGGACCAGTATGTCACAAATTCTAGCTATTGGGATTCCAAGCGATCATATTGCAGCACGAAATACTGTAAAAACGCATGACCGCAGCTTAGTGAGCGTCACCAACGATTTTTCTTTTTAATTCCTAACTTCCTTTTATTCTTAATTTCTTTCCTCAAAAATGCATTTCCTTGTTTCAGTGGAGTCTCAGTGGCTCATATTTTTAACACAAGTCATTTTACTCATTTCCCCAGTTGCTTTGGCCAATGCTGCATCACTTGAAGGTCAACTTCATAGAAATATCCTTCATTTCTTCTAAAAAGTAATCAGCTGAGGTCGTCAGAACTTGTCGAAACTTTAGCTGTTCCGATGTTCTCGATATGTACTGAGCATTACCACGTAGCTCCGACCGCTGCCTTACCAAGAAATTGAGGCACCGCATCGACCAGAAATCAGATTTCCCTTCCTCTTATCTCCATAACTCGCTAAAGTGTGGATCTAGTATTTTGCACTTCACCAGGATTTGGCTTCTTTGCAGGTGTGATCGCGACCAAATGTCCGAATCAGGAAATGAAGAACTAAATAAGCTATCGAAACTGAGACACAAAGCTTACAGCGGCTACGTTACAGCTTTCCAACTTTGTTATGGCCCTGTAAGCTGAAGTTCCGCGGATTCAAAACGATATAATTCTCCTCTCAACGATATTTCGAAAAGAAAAAACTACAATTCAAAGCATTCTAAGCAAGATAGCGATTAGAAATCACCTCTGTTTCCTGCAGTATTTAAACATCCTACTATCGTATAAATTCACAAATATATTTCCCTCAATAGCAACAGTCACAGAAATACTTGTTTTACATTTGCTTATTTCCGTCTACAGCCCAGATACATGAATAATCTCACCAAAAAAATCCCATTCCCCAGCAAACACAGGCCGATTGATGAGCAAAGCAAAAATAATACAACGGCGAAGGGCTGTACATAGGCATTTGTAAGTGTTATACGTGCACAGAGGTGGAGAGACCCTATGGTGTATCCCTCTACGGTCCGCGTGAACTCGAATAGAGCAAAAACGAATTGAACGAAGAAATTGCCAGCTGCATTGATGGAATGATAACGAAAGTCGATGACATACAGCAACTCACCCGAAAAAAAATTTGGCGGGACCGCATGTGGGTAACACGCTTACCTGAAGTCTGGGTTTGAACTCATTAATACCTACTTGGACGGGGAACATCCCCCCAAGATTTCAGCTTTCTAGCTTCTCAGATCCCCGAGTTATGAATTTAACCGAAAAAACTTTGGCCAGCCCATACGCGGGCACCACGCAGGTAATGGCGCCCATTTTGGGGATTGGGGCCCGTACGTGCATATCAAGTTCTCAAAGTTTCAGTCCAGTAGCTTTTGTAGGTCTTGAGACACACACCCCCTCATCAATATGCGTTTCCTGCATTGCATAGCTGCAAAAAACGCATAAAAACTACGATTTTTAGAGTCCTGGGCCAGTCGGGCGCATCATATGGTCCATAAAATGGTATAGGCAATCTTGATACCAACTTAACGGCCTGCTTTAACTTCACATGCTTGGTCTGTTGACATTTGTAACCTTATAAAACAAAGCCCAAAACATAGGCTTCGTCATGCTTGATGTTTGAGTTGTGTCATCAAAAACATATATATATGTAGTCCGGGCCATACTCGCTGGACTTCATTTAAGCACTGCATTACTTACGTACCTGTGAGCCTGTATGAACTCGAATAAATGAAATCCGAAATTATAAACTTTAGAAAAACGGAATTTTTTAGAACATAAAATCCACTGCCAAACAGAAAGTCAAAACAAGTAGCCATCAGCCGAGTAACAAAATTTTGGACG